ACAGGACGGCACTGGTCGCTGCTCAGGGGCCAACCGTCCCACATCGATTCAGGCTCCGGACCCTCCCTGAACCCCTGCTCCGGGCCCCTCGTGCTGGAGCCTGAGATCCCAGGGGCGATTCGGACATGGCTCTCAGGGCAGGAGCCCGGGGACAGAGGTGTGCTGGGTCCTCCCAGGGTGATCATTTTTATTCCTCTCTGATCCCACCGCTGGAAGGTGTCTCCCCATCTCTGCTTCCGAGCTCATCCTGGGTTTTAGCAAAACCCTGTCCCCCATGGTGGTTGTGGGACTGAGGCCCCCATTTCCCTGCAGATCTGCCGGGGAGGGGGGGCTGCTCACAGCTCTAGAGTGACCCACGCTCCCTCCCCATGTGGTCCCTCCCCACCCTCTCCACTCCAGCAACAGCTCCAGGAACCTTCCTCGGGCTTCCAACCTCTGACCTCCTCTCTCCTGGCACCTGGGCTCTTGTGATCATGTCAGGGCCGCTGGATAATCCCCCGTCTGTAGAGTCAGCTGCATCCTATAGCGCCCTAATCACAGGGGCGGAGTCTGTCCCATGCATGTCCTGGGGATGAGGCAGGTTGGTAGGAGATGACAGCGCTGTTTTCGGATTTTTCCTGCTGCAATGCTAAGGGCTGGGGTCATTTGTCCTACAGAAATCAGATTCGGATGCCATGAATGCCGTGGCGAGGAGCCCTTCTGTGTGAGCGCCTTTCTTGCCACCGCGGTCTCTGTTCCCCCTGTAACTCCGAGGAGCCTGATGTGACAGCTGGGGGAATAATCCTCTCATTTTCTTGTCTCATGTCTCCCGTAGTGTCCATCTCCTTGCCTTTCTGGGGACATTTCTGGAAGCTTCTGCTCCAGAAGACGGTCCCGACTCCTAGCATTGTGCATCCTCTAGGGAATCCTTCTCGGCAGGCCGGGTTGGGTCGCTTTCATTTGACGAGGCTGCCTCGAGGGTCCGGGGATCCTTGGCTGTGAGTTCACCGGGAAGCACTGGACACTGAGAACAGGTTGTGGACGCTCCGTGCCTGTGGGCCGGGCGTGTGGACAGCTGAGTCTCAGGCAGGACACTCCGCTTTGGGGCCCCAGAGCCAGCGTGCAGAGTGTCTTCTCCGGGGCAGTAGAGGACCCCACTCCCCACCCCCCACCCCTGCCCACCTGAGCCTCCTGCAGGGGTGAAGAGGGGTGGGGAGCAGGGCTGGCAGCTTCCAAGGACCAAGCTCCTGCCTATGGGCTTTCCCTTCGCCCCTGCGTCAGGCCAGACCCTGCCCTCGGTTCAGCCTGTCATCCTCAAGTTCAAGTCCTCCTGCACAGTTTATTTAGAGGGTCTGCTTATTAAGGGTGTGGAGTGACAGGCTGCTAACTAGGAGGGCTAAGGGCCCTCCTGGATCATCCCTCGGCACCTCCACGATGCCAGGTGGTGGGGGCTCTAAAACTTAATGGGATGTGCTCTGCTGTCAAGAGTGAAGACTTACTAATTTCCTGGGGCCTCCTATGGGCTAGGCGGTGAATCTAGATCGACCCTGAAGGTCAAGGGCTGGGGTGGAGAAGCCCTGCTCTGGAATGATGAGAGACACCCTGTTGCCTTCATGGGCACGGAGCAGGGAGTTTCTGCATTCCTCCTCGGCGCCTGCTGTGCGCTTTCACGCTTTCACTGCGACCCTATGGCCTAGGGATCCTCAGCCCATTTGCTGGATGGAGAATTGAGGCTGAACCAGCCACAGGAGGATGTGGGGGGTGGGAGGGGGAGGGGGAGGAGGCCAGCTGGGGGTGGGGGGTTGGAGACAATGCACCTGCCCTTGGCCCAGGCCAGGTGTGTGTGTTGCTGGCCCCCAACCCCCACCCCCACCCCGGCAGGTCCCGCCTTCCTGCCCACCCCCCTCCTGCTCCCTCTGCCCCTGGGGGAGAGCTGAGGGTGGCAACAGCTGCCAGGGTGCGAGCCAGCCCGGACCTGTGGCCCTGCCTGACGTTGGTCCCCACCAAGCCATGTGACGCGACCAGGCCACAAGAAAGAGGTTTCAACAAGCGTTATCGGTTCCTGGAACTCCGACTCGGCGGCTTCCCCGAAGAAGCCCGGCTGTGTACGACGGACCCGGCTACCCCTTTCCTCCTCCGCTGTGCCCGCAGCCTGCACCCCCTCCCTGTCTCAGTCTGACTACCTGGAAACACCCCCCCTCACTGCACCCCTCCACTCGGGGGGCCCGTGCCCCTCCGGCGGGGCCCGCAGCACAGCGACATCCCTGGGAGCAGCGAGATGCTTGGGCTGGGCCGGCCCAGCTGGGACCCCCCGGGCACCGAGGAACCCACCCCCTCATCCCTGCCCCTGACCCCCTGACCCCCTGACCCCGGCTACTGGCAGCCAGGCTGGGCACAGGTTCGCCTCGGTGTTCCTGGCGGTAAATGGACACAAACCTCACCTCCCCCATCACCCCATTTCATCTGTCCACTAGACCGGGGCCACTTGGCAGGCAGGCACCCCATTTTGGGTTTTGTCTTGCTGGTTTGGGTCTTGGAAATCCAGAGCAGGGAGTGGGGGGGGATCCCATTTTGGCTGGGGCGAGGAGGTCGGTCAGAACCCCGGGGGGTCGTGGATGTGTTATCTCTGGGTGGCTGTGATGACTCTGGAATAAATGACTTCCTCGGTTCACAGAAACACCCGCCCCCCCCCCCCCGCCCCGCTATAAATATAGACCTGCCGCAGTGGGGCGGGGTGGTGGGTGCCTGGGTAGCCAGAATGAGAAGGTGGGTGAGGAGGAGGAGCCAAGGACAAACCGGAATCCTCTAAACAGGCGGGAGCCTCCAGGCCCTGCGGGCGGGGGTGGGGGGGGTGGGGGGGGTTGACTTAACTGCCAAATGAAGATGCTCTTAGGTTGAACCAGATGAAATTGCCAGAAGTCTAGTCTCTTGAGCTGCAAGAACAGTGATTTCGTGTGATTCAGCCTAACGGGCTCTACCCAGGGAGATTGTTTCAGGGATCGAACGAGATGAACAGCGCCCCCATTTAATAAATGCTAAATAGGGGTGCCTGGGTGGCTCAGTCGGGGAGGCGTCTGACTCTTGATTTTGGCTCAGGTCATGATCTCAGGGTTGTGAGATCGGGCCCCACGTTGGGCGTGGAGTCGGCTTGGGATCCTCCCTCTCTGTCCCTCCCTCCCCCCCCAAATATACATATACATAAATAAAGAAAAAGAAAAAAAATAAATGCTGAGGTTATATTACAGTTCCTACTTCGTATCTCCCCGCTGATGATATACCGCCAGTGATGATCACGGGCACACACGTCACCAATGCTTTCACTCATTTTTTTTTCTCTTTCAAACCCGGTAGCAACTTCCATTTATTGAGCACGTGGCACGAACCCGGGATGGGTGTAAGCACTCTTCATTGTCACCCACGCCCAGTGCCACCGGGATTCCTGAGCACGCGCCACGTGCAGGCACGAGGGGAGGGCACACGGTTTGCGCACACTTGGCCCAGGCTGGACCGCGCTCGTGGTTTATCTTGGGCTTGGACTCATCTCTTGTGAAGGCTGGAGGTCAGCCTCTACTGGGGCAGCTGGTTCTTTTCACCCCATTGTAGGACTTCGCATCCGTGTTCTCAATTTCTCCTTGGCACCTGCTTAACATCTTAATCTAGGACTTGTCTGGGCTTCCGACTGTTGCCCGATGGGTTCACCATCCTTGCAATAAGCCGGTTGTCTGGATTCTTTTTTTTTTTTAAGATTTATGTATGTATGTATGTATTTATGTATTTATGAAAGACACACAGAGAGAGGCAGAGACACAGGCAGAGGGAGAAGCAGGCTCATGCAGGGAGCCCGATGTGGGACTCGATCCCGGGACCCCCAGGATCATGATCTGAGCCGAAGGCAGATGCTCAACCGCTGAGCCACCCGGGGCGTCCCACATTTTTAGGAAGGAATCCAGGAAGATGGAGAGAAGGACATAGCCGGGGTGGAGTTCTGCGGCTCGCCACTCCACTCCAGACCCGCCAGCCAGTTGGCATGTGTGTGCCTCGCTGTGTGTGTATGTGTAGTTAACAGTTTACAAAGTCAGGGACCCAGCCTGGATGTGGACACTTGGGTCTGGATTCAGAACCCCACCGTCGTCTAATTTTGGCTTTGCCGCGTGTTAGCTGTGTGACCCCGGGGCGAGTCACTGCACTTTCCTGGGGCCTCAGCGTCCTCATCTGCGAAATGGGCATGATAACAGCCCTGCCCCTCTAGGGTGGTGAGAAGGACGAACTGAGGCGACGTGTGGGACGCTGTCGGCAGTGCCCGGCATCAGCAGCAGCCACGTACGTGGTGCGCACCCAAGTGTGAGAATGAGCCAGAGGCACAGAACGTCTCCGCCTCGGATGGATCCCGGGGGGCTGGGCAGCGGTGTGCCCCCAGGAGGAAGAATTTGATGGTGTGCCCCAGGAGGAGGAATTTGACGGGGGCAGGGGTGAGATAAGACTGTCCCTCAGGGGCCGGAGCACTTGTGTGTCACCTCTGAAGACCCCTTGGAGGATCACCAGCCTCCCTGCCTCTTGCGACAAAGCTCGGGGAGTCTCTGCTGAGCCTACTTTGGTGGCTGCCCACCAGCGCCCCTCCTCGCCCCTCCCCGGGACTCCCCATCTCCCCACCACAGGAACTTCCCCTCTCTGAACAGCAGCTTTCTCATCCTCAAAAAAGGAAAAAAAAATCTCAGGGGACAATGGAGAGCATCCGATGAAATGTGCCTCCGAGGTCAATCCTGGGCCCCCCTCCCGCCCCGCTCCCTGCGGCCTCACGTTCAAATGGGCACAGTCCTCCCGACCTTGTCAGCCGGGGACCTGGAGTTCGGTGCCTGAGATGGTAAGTGGAAAAAGTGGTTTCCAATATGGGTCATAAAGAACGTTGTCCCTTTTTAAAAACTTTTTTAAAGGAAAAAAAAACATATGTAATCTGTAGTGATCAGAAGAAAAATATACACCCAAGGCACTTAATACATGCATGATTGGTAGATTCCTTTACAAATTTAAAAACAAACATGGAAGTTAGGAAAGAACGTGGACTGGTGTGGGATGTTGTAGTGGGGGAGGCAGTGCGTGGGGTGGGAGCAGTGGGTATATGGAAACTCTGTGCTTTCCACTCAATTTCAGTGTGAACCTAAAACTGCTCTAAAAATAGTCTGTTCAAAAAAAAATGGGAAGGAACTTTTTTTTTAAAAAACGTGGAATTTTTTTTCCCCAAAGTTAAAAAAAAAGTCGGTTATTAACAAAACCCGTGGACCCTGGGGATGTGGAAGTGTCTGCAACCCACCTTTCCTGGAGGGCAGACACCAGGGAGAGCGGGGATCACCATGGGCCCCAGATCCTGCCAAAACTAGTCCTCGCTCTTCCAGGCCGAAGGGTTGTTTTGACTCTTAGCGTTGCAAGTGACAGCAACATAACTCAGACAAGGATAAGCCAAAAAAGGAAACCTGTGGTTTGTGTAACAGGTAAGTCTGGAGGTGGAGATCAGGTACGGCTGGATCCAGGGCTCACACAGGGCATCGGGGCTCCGGCTCCTGCTCCGTCTCTTCATCTCTGTTGACATAATGGGACACAACCACTGTCAGGGGTGGGAGGGCGTGGGAGTGGGGGCCCAGGTTAGAAGGAAAGGGCTCCTGTTTGTTCCAGCCCAAAAGTTCCAGAAGGGTCTCTGATTGATCCAGCTTGGGTCGTGTGCTTACCAACTGAGGTATGGGGCGCTCTGATTAGCCAGGTCTGGCCCACATCCACCTGCGGCCAGTGCTGGGACGGAAAGCCCCTCTGGGACCATCGAGAACCAGCAGGGTAGTTCCCTGAGAGCAAAGCTCTGGCTCACAGTGTGCTGAGTGTGGACCCTACTTTCCAGCCACCAAGATTTTTTTCCATGCTGTCCCATCCACCCTCCTTAGAATGTGGGGACAGAGACTGTCAGCTCAGGTCTGTGTTCTGTAAGGTACCCGATGCCTCACGGAGAAGGAGGGGGCCCTTTGAGGCCCTGCAAACCTGGGCCTGAATCCTGACTCTGACCCCGCAGTAGGCTGTGTGACCCAGGCAAGCCACTTTAAGGTGTGGAGGGTTTAAGCGGGGTGTGTGGGAGCCTGGGGCCCGGGGCAGAGGGTGTGCTCCCGGACAGACAGACATGGTGAGGATCCGGGTACCCCTTGAGTCTGGCTCAGGAGAGAGGCTGGGCACACGTGGACTGCTTCTGGATCTCCACTCCAGCTGGGAGTCCTGGCCAGATCAAACCACCATACTTCTTTGAGGTCGTAGTTTCTCCCCCTGCAAAAGATGGAGAGACGTATGTACTTTGGGGGCAGTTATATGGATTGTGGGGAATAACACAGGTCACTTTGACTATTCTGTTCCCTATGCCTCAGATGCCCTTCCCCACAGAGGCTGCCCAGGTGAACCCCTTCCCACTGGCGCTTGAAGCGGCTGACAGCAGCCCCTCCAGGGAGCCTCCCCTGATTGAACGTCTCCCAAACTCCTCCCCACGATTCCAGGGACCCCATGACTTACTGGTCTCCGGGTGCCCTCCACCAACCCTGAAGCCACCTACCTGTTGGTACCCGACTCAGGGGACAGTGAACCCCTCCCTAAGCCCTCCTCCTAACTCTGGGCCACACAGATTCACCTGCCTCCCCCACACCTAGCACTCTGGAGGCACGAATAAAGGTTTGTGGGCTGAGCGCATGACCCCCACACTCCCTGGGGGGGGCCCCCCTCTCCGGCACAGGCCTCCAGCCCTGTTGCCGAGGTTAGTGTGGCACTCACCAGGGTGAGGGGGCTCTTCGGTGAGAGATGAAGTCCAGGCGGCAGCTGGAAGCCCAGGCAGCTGATTTCTAAGAAACCAGCAGAGGAACAGGAAGGCCGGGGCAAAGCTCAGGATGGCTTTTACTTTCAGTTCTCAGGCTGGAGTACAGAAGGTGCTGAGGTTCCTGGTTGGGAGCGGAGGGTGTGGCAAGCTGGGCTTGCTGGGCTGAGGGTCAAGGACGCAGCCACCGCCACTAGACCAGGCCTGCAGCCCAGAGAGGTCCCCCACGGGGCCCGGCCACACAGCCATGAGCCCAGGAGCAGGGGCTGCGCACCTGAGGGCCTGCCACCAGGCTTGGCCACCAACACCTTCCCCTCGTTTGTTTGCCCTTTATTTTATGTGTTTATTTTTCAAAGATTTTATTTATTTATTCATGAGAGACAGAGGCAGAGACACAGGCAGAGGGAGAAGCAGGCTCCCTGGGAGGAACCCCATGTGGGACTCAATCCTGGGACCCCAGGATCATGCCCTGAGCTGAAGGCAGATGCTCAACCGCTGAGCCCCCCGGGCGACCCTGCCCTTTATTTTATACATGCCTTGGATTATTCATTCTTTCACCGGCTCATTCACTCATTCATCCGTCCACGCGAGGGTTCTTTCTTTTATTCTTAGGGCCTTTCTGTTCCCTTTCCTTCTTCATCCTCTCATCCTTCCTCTCCCTGCCCCCTCGCACCTCTCCCCTCCCCTTTGTGGCTCTGAGTCTGCCTGCATCCCTTCGCTCCTCTCTCTAGCCCCTCCCCTGCCCCCGCCCCCGCCCCCAGCGCTGGCTCCTCCCCTTCCCTAGCCCCGCCCCATCTATTGGCCCCGCCCCGTCTCTGTCTCATTTTCCTTTCTTTTATTTGTCCTGCATTCTCCAAATTCCACCATCCACCTAAGATAATGCTTACCACAGTTCCTTTTTGATCCTTTTAACGATTTTATTTATTTATTCATGAGAGACACACAGAGAGAGAGGCAGAGACACAGGCAGAGGGAAAAGCAGGCTCCCTGCAGGGAGCCCGATGTGGGACTCGATCCTGGCACCCCGGGATCACGCCCTGAGCCGAAGGCAGATAGATGCTCAACCACTGAGCTACCCAGGCGCCCTGGTTACCACATTTTCTAAACAAACGCCCCTCACCTGACTTTTTGAAAATCTAAATACCTCCTTTAGTGTTGTCTCAGGTGATGATAGTCATAGCATCTCGTGTTTGACGTGATACTTTTTTCCCTGATGCACATTGAAATAAACACGTGGGAGAATTTTTGCCAGTCCTATGCCCAACAAATCCTGTGGGGTCAGGGGTGCCCAGGTGGCACACCCGCACCTAGAGCACCCTTCACCTGCACGCCCTGGTATACCCATCTCTCCCCATTGCTCCTCCGTTTATCCTGCCATATGTCCTCACCATGGGCCTGTTGTCCAGAGACCTTTGTACTAGGCAAGCTTCTAAACGCTTTACAGACTGCATTTACTCCCCTAACAGTCCTGAGAGATAGAGACGATAATAATGGGGACACCAAGGCACAGAGAGGCTAGGTAACTTGCTTGTATCATGCACCTAACAAGTACCCTGCCTTCCTGGCACTCACAGTCTAGGAGACAGAGCAAACCTCTCGGCTTCTAGGTGTAGACTTTAACGGAGGCTGTGGTGGCCCAGCAGAACCAAGGAGGAATTCCTCCTGGGGAAAGTGAGGACTGAGCTGGGCTTTGAAGGTCGAGTAGGAGTTTGCCAAGTGAAAAGGAAGCAAGAGAAACATCAGAGGTTTCTCAGATTGGTCAACAGCCCTAAGAAATGATTAGAAATCGGGGATGACGGAAGCAGATGGGGAATGTGAGAGCATGATGTAGGCCTGGAAATGTACCTTGGGACCAGGTGGTCAGGGACCTCAAGTCCCATGGGAAAGGGGTCATATTTCAGTATCTAGCAATTGGGTTGCTCCGGCATCATCCTACTCGGTTCACATGATGCCTCTACTACTTTTACCGTTTGTGAGGTGTAGACAAGGAACCTAACCTCTCTTGGCCTCAGTTGCCTCATCTGTAAAATGAGACAGTAATGGTCCCTGCCTAGAAGGTGCTAGATAAGGGACGCTGCGGGGACACGTGACCAGGGGTGTGAGGTCATCAAATCTGCATCGGAGGCCATCGCACCTGGCTCCTCCCTAGCGCCTGTGGAGGGCGCCGGGGCCCACAAGTGTGACCTCAGCTTCCCCCATCCCGAATCCAGGAAAGGGGAAGCCGGCTGGAGGGCTCAAGCGTCCCTTCTCCACCCTGCCCCCACACCCATGCCCACCTGGCTGGGGGAGCCCAACAGGCCCCCCTCCTGGCTGGACCTGAGGTAGTTTCACTTTGACTCGCCTTCCAGGAACTGCGGCCCTTCCTGTCACCAGGCTAGCACAAAGGACAGAGATGAGACAGATGGCATCGAGGAGCCCAGGCTGGGCATGCTGGGGTTTCGCTTTCAGTGTCCTCTGACACGGGGCCCGGCCTGCCCTGCCGGCTCTTGCCTCTAATTGATCTCATGCTCTGCGCTTAGTTGTTTCTGATCATTCCTTTCATCCCTCAGGACCCTTTGAGATCCAGATGGTTACCCCATTTCACTAAGACTCAGAACCACTGAAAGCACTGCTTGCTAGGGCCACACCGCTGGCGGCCAAGCTGGACAGTTGTTTCCCCGGTGTGGGACAGGTGTCCCCGAGGGTCTCTGGATGATGCTGTCCGGTGAGATGCAGGGACATTTTTACAATATACGGAGCCTTCCCCCACCCCCCACCCCCGCCATGAAACACAAGTTCCTCTTTGCATCCATCCTTCGGGATCTTTCAGCTGAAGTCCACAAGGTCTGAGATGGGTGCTGTTGTGCCGTATACACCGCATACACCACCCTGGCACTTGGCACTCCCTGCCTCCTGCCTCCCAACCAAACGCGGAGCCGACCTCTCAGGGCAGCGTGGGACACCAAGATCCAGTTGGAATGTAAGCGCTGTTGGGATTGCACTACATTTTTTTCGGGATTACCTCTTGCTGGCTTTCCATTTGTGGGTGGTAATGATACACTTCCCTTTAAATAAAACTCACGGAGGAAACCAAGTGACTCAATTTGAAGGAGATAATAATCAAATAACAGACCAGCTGGCACCTGGATGGTACAAGTGGAGCTCAGCCGTCTCTGCCCTGAAGCTTCACAGGAGGAAGGGGTTGTAAATTCGGGTTTCCCCGCGTTAGGATGCCCTGGCCTCCGCCACCTGCCTGCTGTGTGACCCTGGGCGCTCTATTTAACCTCTCTGTGCTCAATGGCCTCATCTGCAAAAGGAGGATGATAATAATTACACCTGTTTCCTGGGTGGGGGGGCAGTTGTCCAATGATGATTAAATGAGATACTATGCAGGGATTACAGACAGCGATGCCTAGCGTCCAGTGAGCATTTGATGTGGGGTGAGCTGGGAGTCGCTGCTGTTCTTCATAAATGGCAAGTTGAGAATAAAGCCAGGTTTGCCTAACCTAATGCCTGTGTTGATTGGAATACGCCCGGGGAGTCTGTGTGATGCAAAATAACACGGAATTCTTGTCATCTGATAAAAATCACCGTATTTGGGTGGTGATCCATTTCGTTTCCACTTATCTTGAGTCATGGATCCTCATGACCCTGTGAAGCAGAGCAGAGTGGGTCTAATTTTCATCGTATGGATGAGGCGGCTACTGTCACACAGTTGGCAGAGGCAGGACTCGAACCCAGGTCCTGGGGCCTGGCTCTCTCTGTTCCAGCAAGCTGCCTTCCACAGCAAGATGTGGGTGGGGAGGGGCCCTCCGAGGCTGACTTACACGGGCCATGCGCCCTCCTCTGCCTCATCATACTTCTGGCTGCCCTTCCTGGAAGCACCCAGGTGTGGTAGGCAGTACATGTGTCACCACCTAGGCCCCTGCAGGCCCTGAATGTCACCCTCCCAGCCCTGCTCTTGTGCAAGATCCAGCTTTCTGGCTCTGAGTATCCCTGTCCCTGCTCATCCTCATTTGCATCTGTGACCCCCCACCAGCTGCCGGGGCTGCCCCAGAGCAGCTCGCCAGGGGGTCCCTTCCAACCAAGGGGTCCTGGCCATCGTCCTAGGCTGAACTCTCTCGTGGCCTTGCGCAGACGTTACCAGCCCACCGCCTCTCCTGCCTTCCCAGTCTGCACTGCCGGGAAAGGGCGGGCAAGTGAGATGCTCGAAGCCCTGGCTGCTTCCGTGGCTCCCACACCCTCCAGGGGGGTCCTAAGTGGCAGAAACGAGGCATAAATACATGAACTGTTGAGCACTGCAGTGGATGAGATACACCAGGCACCCGTGGTCACAGTGCCTTGGCCGTTCACGCACCCACGGGGGCAGTTCCTTTGCCTTTTGAGCCTGTCTCCCTGCGAGGCAGCCTGGGTGAAGTACTAATCAGCACCCACGAGGTGCTTAGTAAATGGCAGTAGAAATGAGAGAATCAAGAAGCAGAGAGAGCCAGTCACAGTTATTGGATACTATCTTATGTTATTGTTACTATCTTGTGTTATCTTGTGTGAAGGGGTTATGAGCACCCCTTTACTTAACTTCACCCATAGGGTGTGAACAGTTATTCATCATTTCCAATGAGGGAGATAGACTTCAGAACCTAAGGGCTGGGTGAGTTGGGGTGGGCAAGGGGCCGTGTGGACTGGGATGGGGTGGAAGCGCTTTCTGGTCCCTGACTTCCTTAGGGCATGCACGTCTGGGCCTCAGGGCTACTGCCAGGACCCTGGGAGCCCGGAGATGGCCAGCGTGCAGTGCGCACAGAGCAGCGCGAGCGCCAGGTGGAGGTGGAGAGCACGGCCCACAGAGCCTGCTTGGAGTCCATTGCCTGCAGGTGAGGGCAGGGCGGTGACGTCATGGGCGTGCAGCACATGGAGGCCCTCACCGCCAGAGCCTTCGGAGTGGGCAACGTGGCCCAGGCTGGAAACAGCACCCACCACCTACCTGGAGCAGCCTGGTGTGTGCAAAGACCCGGTGGCACGAGGGAGCAGTGAGTGCTGAGCCCAGACATGAGGGCAGCGGTGGTG